ATCTACTAATCACCTCCTCAAAGAAACCCCCAAAGGAAAAGAAATCCCAGAAATGTTATAGCCAAAATTCAGAGCTCCCCAAGTCAAAGAAAAAAAAACACTGCAAGCATCCAGAAAGAAACAGTTCAAGTACCATAGAATTACAATGAAGACCACACAAGACATGGCAGCTTCCACTATAAACAAGAGGAGATCCTGAAATGAAGGAAGAGGTGGGAGCCAGAAAGCATCATACGAACCTCACTCTTATCTGAAATGAACAAAGGAAGGTTAAACACACAAACACAAATACACACTCAGAGTTCTGTGTGTAAATACATGAAACTAACAGGTTATCAAGTAAGGATGGGGGAGGGAGTATTAAAAGGAAAGGTACCAGGCAAGAAATAGTAACAAGAGAAACACATTTCCCGTTCCTGAAAGAGGGGATTAAAAAAGAAAAAAAATTTTAAAAAAGAGCTAGTAAGCTAGTATCTAAAAGGGGGGGTGCCCATCAATTAAGGAATGAAACATGGCACACGAATGTTACGAAATAATACTGTATTTGTAAGAAATAACGGAAGAGATGACTGCAGAGAATCCTGGGTAGTATGAACTGATGCAGAGTGAACTGAGCAGAACCAAGGTAACATGACACAAGGACAACAGCATTGTGAAGAAAAATAACTCTGAAAGACTTCAGAATTCTGATCAATGCAATGATCACCTACATCTCCGGAGAACTTATAATGAACTATGTTATCGACATCCTGACAGAGATAGTGTCAGAGGGCTTGGGTTCAAATTCCATTACTTTCACTTATTACAAGGGCCTCATTTTCCTCCTCCATAAAATGAGGGGCTTGCACTGGATTAACTGGAAGGGCCCTGCCTCTTGGGGTCAAGAACATGTGGTGTTTTAAGGACGGAGAGGGAAAGATCCAGCGGGTACTTGAATCAAACAGGTAGTGATAGGGGCAGGGGCAGAAGATTTGGGGTCAGGGGAATCAACAGGCCAAAGGCAGGAAGGTTTAGAAATTCAGGAAGGTGAAAGCCTTAGGACCAAATGCAAATGTCACTTGGACCAGATCCCAGGCTAAATTTAGTACTCTTCAGGGAGGCCTAAGGCTAGATCTGACCAGCTCTTTAGCATCACTCACCCCTAAGTGCGTTCCAAAGAGTCCAGGTTCATTCACCAGGGGACACTTCAAACCAAAACCTCTTTCCTGGTCCCCAATCTCCCTATCTGTGTCATTTCCCCTACCAATTAGAAGTGCTTTAATTCAGATAAGCAGATTTGTTATTAGCCTATTAAATTTAATACACACTTTAAAAATCTGTATAACACAAGTTCACAGCTTTATATACAATTCTCTGTTTCCATTATTTGTGTGTTGAAAGGCTTATATTTGTGAATGTTTTTAAGTTCATCATTTAAAAAAAAGAAACAAAGATTTAAGTATTTTGAAGGTAGAAATGGCCTGTCTTGTGTATTTGTATCCCAGTTTATGCAGACTAAGCATTTAATAAAATGCATGTTCATTCAATCTTTCTTTCATGTATTCATTCATATGATGGCTTTGAAAATGAGTATCAAAAACTACCTTGCAGTCAGGAGGACCTGAGTTCAAATCCAGCCTCAGACACTTGACACTTACTAGCTGTGTGACCCTGGGCGAGTCACTTAATCCCAATTGCCTCGCCAAAAAGCAAAAAAAAAAAAAAAATCTACCTTCCGTATCTTCAGTTTTAAAGAAACGGAATGATCTGCTATTCCGTAACCCCCTCCGTGCTTCTCTCAGATCTATCTGCCTTAAATATTTATTGCCCTTATAGGGAGAAAAGACACAGAGGAGGGCAAGGCGGTAGACTTCATTCAGAAAACTAGAGAAATAAATCAAAATCCCAAGAAGACTAGAGCTGAAAAGAATCTTACAAGTCACCTAGTCCAGCTCACTTTACAGATGAGGAAACTGAGGCCCAGGAAGACGAGGTGACTTGGGGTTACAGATCTGAAACCAAAAGGGATCTGAGGCCATCTAGTCCAACTCTCTTTATAAATAAACTGAGGCCCAGAGAGGTAAAGTCACTTAAGGTCATAGAGCAGGAATCAAAATGGAACCTCAGAAGTTACCTAGTCCAGCCCATTTTACAGATGAGGAAACTGAGGCCCAAGGAGATGAGGCGACTTAGGGTTATGCATCTGGAGCCAAAAGGAACTGCAGAAGCCATCTATTCCTTTGTTTTTTGGGGGTTAAGTGACTTGCCCAAGGTAAGTGTCAAGTGTTTGGTCTGAGGACGGATTTGAACTCAGGTCTTCCTGACTTCAGGGCCGGTGCTCTATCCACTTCGCCATCTAGCTGCCCCAGAAGCCATCTATTCCAATCCCTTTGAAAGATGAGGAATCTAAGTCTTGGGGAGGTGCTTGGACACGCTCAAGCTCGTACAGGTAGTAAGTATCAGAGGAAGAATTTGAACCCAGGGCATAGGATCATAGATCCTATATAGATCATAGGAGGAAGACAACTCAGAGACCATCTAAAAACCCTCCTTTTACACATGAGGATACATAAGTTCAGAGAGATCCGGTTTATTTTCCCACACAACGGTAGAGATCACTTATCCTAAGGTCAATCAGTGGCAACAATATTTATTGTGCCTTTATCTACATACAGACAACACAGGGTCGCAGTAAACCCTAAAATAAAGCATTATATAAATATGAACTGTTATTCACCTTGCTGAGCCTCAGTTTCTCCATCTGTCAAGGGAGGAAGTTGTACTTGATGTTTCTAAGGTCCCCGCGGGCTCTGGCTCTCTGATCCTTTTATTTTTTGACACTATCACTATGAGTTTCCTCACCTGTAAAATGAAGAGTCGGAACTGAACGGCCTCTGGAGCTTCCTTCCAGCCCTAAATCTATGATCAGATAACTTCTCCAAGTTTCCTTTTATTTCTATAGTTTCCAGACAGAAATATACTGCCCTCCCCCTCCCTTGATTCAATGATTATCATACGCCAACTGTGAACAAAAAAGAATAAAATCCCATCCCTGTCCTCAAGGAGCTTGCACTCTAGTTAGGGAGAAGATAACACAAAAGGTATCCCAACAAAATGGCGCAATTTTGTTTTGTTTTTAATCTGGCTAGAGAAAACATAAATTGCTACAAATTCAAAAGTAGCAGGGATTATTGTCAACTCAATCCACACCTACTGTGTGTGCAGGGCACCTACTGTGTGTGCTGGCACCACACAAGGTGCTGGGGACTCAGACAAAAATAAAACAATCCTGGCTCTCAAGAAGTCTACATTCTAACACAGATAAGCAATGCAGTGCAAAGCTATTTCAAAGGGGAAAGATAGCTCACAACTGGGGGCTTTGTACTTGAGCTGGACTTTGAACAGTCAGGGATGCCAGGAAGTGGAAATAAGGAGAGAGGACATTTCAGTCTTGGGGAGCCATCTGGGAAAAAGCACTAGGAATGTCATGTACTGGAAACTTACAAAGGACAATTGCTTCCTAGCTTCCCAAGGCTTCCTTCAAGGCTCAACTCAAATCCCACCTTGTAAAGGAGGCATTTACTACCCACAATTCAGCCCGCCCCCAACCTTCCCAGTGCCTTTCCCTAAAGACATTACCTTGGTCTATTCCAGGTATCTGGAGATAACTCCTCCATTTGAATATGAGCTACTTGTGGGCAGGGATGGGTTTTTTGCCTTTGTTGGTAGCCCTAACACTTAGCACATAATTAATAAACACTTACTAAATACTTGTTGACTGATAGGAATATGAAATTACTGTAAACAGAAGGGGAAGCCAGGTTGATTTTGCATTTTATCCTAGAGGCAACTGGGAACCATTGATGGTTTTTGAGGTAAAGAGGGTGAAAGGATGATATAAAGGAACTCAGAAGCTAATCAACCTTCTCATTTTACAGATAAAGAAATAGGGGCCCAAGGAAATTCAGTAGTGTCCCCCAAGGTCACACAGGGAGTAAGAATCAGAGGGAGAGTTTGAGCCCAGGACTTCTGTCTCCAGAAGCAGCTCTCCACTCCTATGGGGAGAGAGAGGAGAGAGAAAACCCTGAAGCAGGGGCATGATCAGTAACTGGTCATTGCTGTCATCTAAGCAAGAAGTTATGCGGCTTTGGTTAAAAACCCAGGTGACAGTATAATGAAGGTGGTGCCCCAACAGAAATAGGAAAGTTTAGGGCAGAGATGGTTTGGGGAGTAGGACATTAAAAATGAGCTCTCTTCCGGACAGCCTGAGTTTGGGAGGGACATGAGTTTGGGCTTCAAGGATATGGACAGGTGGAGGATCTACCCTTTTCTTTAAAAGCTCCAGGGAAAAACTTCAAAGTCCAGCAACACTCATCAGACATTTCCGATCAGTCAAAAATATGATAGTTCCTGCTATACTTAATCCCACTTTATTCCACTCCCCTTCAGTCCCCTCAGTATTTTACTAGGATTTCTCCAGTTTAAGTGCAATTCTGGGGTTCTGGAGGAAATTTAGGAGCCTTTTACATCACCTAGCTCAAATATCCCATTTTGCAGATGAGGAAAATGAGACCTAAAAGGCGAAGAGCCTTGTCCAAGGTCACACAGACTTTCTGAACCACTGTCATAGACTTAGAGCAGGTAGGAACCTTGGAGGTCACTAGCCCAGTCCCCACATTTTACAGATGAAGAAACTGAGACCCCAAACTGAGATTTGTGCAAAGTACAAAACACTTTTGAACCACTCTCCTCAACATCAGACTTGGGGCTCCAAGGGTCCTTGCAGGTCACCTAGTCCAATGTCCACATTTTACAGAAGAGGAAACTGAGGCTCAGGGAGATTAAAGTGACTTGCTTCACAGATAGTGAGTGAGGTTGAACCAGGATTTGAAACCAGTTCTTCCTTGTCCCCCGAGCCCGGCACTCTCTTCGGATTTGGTCCTTTCTTTCTTTTTTTTTTTTACTTGCCCTACCTCGCACAAATGCATACGTTCCCCGAAACAGACTGGGTCCTTCGTTACCTGATGTACGGAAGGAAGGGGTTGACGTGTCCAAAGAGCACGGCGATCACATAGGAGATGATGAAGGCAGCGGACGACCAGGTTACCAGGAGGAAGGGGACAAAAGCCATCCCTTTGAGGAAGCACAGCATCCTGCCGTCGAGAGCGGGCTAGGGGGCAGCAGGGCCTGGTACCAGAGGTGGTGCTGGGGCGCCCGTGGCTCCCGCGGAGACTGGACATGTGCTGGGGCACGGCGGGTGACAGCGGCAGCAGCAGCAGCAGCAGCACCTGGGCGCAGGCGGGCGCAGGCGAGGGCCGGCGCAGGCGGAGGCGGAGGCGCAGGGCTCCGGCCGCGGGGGCAGTCCTAGCGCTGGCGGGAAGGGACGAGAAGAGAAGAAAGTCGGGGAGCTAGGTGGCAGTGGCGGGCGCAGAGGGGCACACAGGATAGCACGCCGGCAGGGTCGAGGCCGAATGGCCCGGGACCGGGTGGGGAGGGAGTGGTTGCGAAAGGGGGTGAAGTCACAAAGCGGTCGCCCCCGGGTGGGGGCGGGCCGGCTTTGCGCCACCTCCTACCAAGTTCCTGGCCCCGGGACCAGCCGGGATGGAAAACGGTTCCTTTCACTTTTGTTTCTCGCACTTGCCTGGGCTAGCTAGGACAGGGGTGGGGTCAGTGATTTCCACCCCCCCTTGGGGGCGGAGCCAGGGTGGCCGGCCCCCTCCCCTGACTCGGTTGCCCTAGGGTCCCCCGCCCAGCTCCTGAAATTTCCTCCCTGGGATCCGGCTGGTCTTGCTAGGAGGATGCAGATAACCTAAACTTTGACCTCCAGGGGTACTCATGCCCCGACGTGACCCCAGGCTCTCTTTGGTTCCCTCTGAAATCTCTTGTGAATTCAGAGGGCCTACCCTAGCCTTTGACTCTCGGGGTACCCCCACCCCACGCACACACCCAGACGAGCGCGTCTTGGGGCCCCGGGCTCTGCTGCCCCGCCCCCTTGAGGTCCCCTGTGGGTCCCATGCTCTTAGCCTCGGATGCCCACGGGTGCCCCCTCCACGCTTCGGTGTCTGCAACTTGAGGCCCCACATTCTGATGCTCCCTCACCTTGGATCTTCTCTGATATCTCTTCTAGATCCTGAAGGGCCTGGCCTTTGACCTCCAAGGGCAGCCACGTGGTTATTCAGGCCCTGCTGCCGCTTCACCTTGCCTCTCTCCTGAGGTCTCCTGTGGATCCTGAGGGTGTGGCCTTTGACCCTCAAGAGTACACTCCACCCCTACCCCCAGCCTACTCTGGGCGCTGCACACGAGGGAAATACTGGCTGTATGAGGCTAGTGGGGAGTGGACCAGGTCAGTCTCCAAACAGCCTGGGAATCCTTCACTGGGAGTCTGAATAGGGAGGGAATCTTGTTGGCTGCATGACTCTGGGCCCCTCAATTGACCTCTCAGCCAGTGCTTTCTCTGTAAATTGCAGAATAGTTGCTGATGTCCACTGTTGCTTTGGTTTTTTTTTTATTTTAACTGTAAATTTGGTAAATAGTATTTCATTTTTTCCAATCACATGTAAATATAGCTTTTAACATTCATTTTTATAAGATTTTGAGTTTCAAATTTTTTTCTCCCTCTCTCCCATCCCCCCTCCCCAAGACAACAAGCACTCTGATATAGATTATACATGTGCAATCATGTAAATATATTTCTACATTAGTCATGTTGTGAAATAAGAAACAGAGCAAAAGGGAAAAGCCACAAAAAAAAAAGTGAAAATAGTCTGCATAGATCTGTATTCAGACTCCATAGTTCTTTCTCTGGATGTGGAGAGCATTTTTCAGCTGATGTCCATTGTTAGAAGACATTCTTCACACTTCTAAAATCACAGGTCAGAATCACACTCAAAATAAAATGAATAGGTTAATAGATTTGAATTTAGAAGGGACCTTAGAGGTCATCTCGAAGCCCCTTGCTGTCAAAGATAAGAAATTTCATATTTTCTTTAATGTATTTCTAATCACTGATTTTTTTTTCCTAGTGGAGAAAAGATTTCATTGTTTTTCTGAATCCCACATAGAAGGCTGGGCTCGAGTCTCAGAGTCTTCTGAAAATTGGCTTTGGAGTTAGTGTGGTGTGGTGGGGGAAATCCTGCCTCTCCCACTGTGTGATCTTGGATAAGTCACTGATACTCTCTCTGCCTCATTTTGGACTAGATGACCTTTAATGTCATTTCCAGCTCTGTCATCTGTGTGACCTTGGGGAAATCTTTGTTTCTATGTTTCAACTTCCTCATTTGTAAAATGATGGGTTTGGTCTACACATCTTCTAAAGCCCTTCCCTTCCAGCTCCAAATCAATGGTCCTATGAAGCCTGAACTGAAATTATATTTTATTTGTCACATTAATTTGTAGTGCCTTAATGACATGTTCACTACTAACAAAAACATTGACTGTATCTCTAGAGAAATTATTGCATACTCTGAACCTCATCTAGTGGTTAAAAATCATTGCTTGAGATTTACAAAATCCAACCAATGGCCATGTGATGTCTTGAGTTCATTAAATATGGAAGTACAACTTCCCCAATGAACTCAAGAAGAACAATTGGGAATTGAAAAGACTTTAAAAGAATATACATTTAATTTATTCAACAAGCATTTGTTAAATGCCTATTATATGCTAGAAGCTGGAGAGACAAAGATAAATATTTTTTTTTAAATCTACTTTGTGAGAAGCTGTTAAGTAAAGGAATTCTGCGACATTAAAAAAAAAAGTTAGCTAGTGATTTCATGGCACCCATTTCTTGCAATCTGATTGGGTAAAATTAGTCCAAAACCAAGAGGTCTAGAGGAAGTAGTGCAGAAAGCTTTGGACTTGGAGTTGAGAAGACTTAAGATCAAATCCCAGGGCAGATAGTTGGTGAAGTAGATAGTGTGTGGGGCCTGACGTCAGGAAGAGCCACCTTCCTGAGTTCAAATCTGGCCTCAGATACTTACTAGCTGTGTGACCCTGGGCAAGTCATTTAGCCATATTTGTCTCAGTTCCTCATCTGTAAAATGAGCTGGAGAAAGACATGACAAACCACTCCAGTGTCTTTGCCAAGAAAATCCCTAATGGAGTGACAGAGTGTCTGAAACAGCTGAACAAGTTCAAATACCACCTGAGACACTTAGCTGTGTGACACATTGTGGGCAAGCCTCAGTCTCCCTCTGAGCCTGTTTCCTATTCTTTTTTTTTTGGTAAGGCAGTTGGGGTTAAGTGACTTGCCCAGACTCCCACAGCTAGGAAGTATTATGTGTCTGAGGCCAGATTTGAACTCAGGTCCTCCTTACTCCAGGTCTGGTGCTCTATCCACTGTACCACCTAGCTGCCCCCGTTTCCTATTCTTTAAATGAAGTTAATAATAACAACACCTACCTTATAGGGTTGTTGTAAGGATTAAAATGTAAATTTAGGATGTCCATTCAGATAGACAAGACCAGGGGTGGGGAATCTGCAGCCTCAAGGCCATGTGTGGCTTTCTAGGTCCTCAGATGCAGCCTTTTGACTGAGTCCAAGTTCTATAGAACAAATCCATTTATTAAGGGGATTTATTCTGTGAAGTTTGGATTCAGTCAAAGGACCGTGAGGACTACATGGCCACATGTGGCCTCAAAGCCACAGATTCCCCACTCCTGGAAAAGACCAAGTTGATAAGGAATGTCTTTTGCCCAGATTTCAACATAAATTTTAAGTTCAATGTATTTTTCAATAACAAAAATCAGTTTTCCCTCTTTCCATACCTTCCACCATTGCAAAAACAAATAACCAACATCATTGTAGCTAACATGCACACTCAAGAAAAAAAATTCTCACATTGACCATATCCAAAAAATGTCTCATTTTGCATCCTGAATCTATCACCTCTCTATCTGAGGTGGATAACATGCTTCATCAGGAGGTAGATAGCATGTTTCCTCATTGGTTCTCTGGAATTATTATTGGTCGTTGTGTTGATCAGAGCTTTTCAAAGTTGTTTGCCTCTAATATTGTTATTATTACATAAATTGCTCTCTTGGTTCTGCTCACTTCATTGTGTCAGTTCATACAAGTCTGCCCAAATTTCACTGAAACCATCCCATTTGTCATTTCTTATGGCACAATAGTATTTCATCTTCTTTGTATACCATAATTTATTTGTTGATCTCCCAAAATATGGGCATCCCACCTTAATTTCCATTTCCTACCTCAAAAAGAGCTACTATAAATACATTTGTTCATGTGGGTCCTTTTCCTCTGTCTTTGATCTCTTTGGGTTATAGGCCTAGCTGTGGTGTTGCTAGGTCAAAGGGCATGGCACAGTTTAATAACTTTGGGGGCACAGTTCCAAATTGCTTCCCAGAATGGCTGGCCCAATTTACAACTCAACCAACAGTACATTAGTGCCTGTTTTCCCACAGTTCCTCCAGCATTTGTCATTTTCCATTTTTGTCAACTTTGCCAATCTGATAGGTGTGAAGTGGTCTCTTGGTTGTTTTTATTTGCAATTCTTTAATTATTAATGATTTGGAGTTTATATTTTGTCATAAAAGCAATAGAGAGCCATTGGAATTTATTGAGAAGATTAATACCATCAGAACTGCGCTTAAGAGAAATCACTTTGTTAGCTGCATGGAGGATAACTAAGAGAGGGGAAAGACTAGAGACAGGGAGACTGATGAGAGGTCATTGAAATCATTCAGGCAGCAGCTAATGAGGGCTTGAACTAACTAGTAACTGTGTGAGAGGGGAGGATGCTCCAGGCTCCAGATGTGGGAGATGTTTTAAAAGTAAAAACAAATGGCAAGATGTGGCAACTGATTGCATGTGTGGGGTCAGGCTAAGAGGAACTGAAGATAAAACAGAGGTTACAAAACTAAGAGAATAAAAGAAGGGTGGAGCTCTTAACAGAAGGAGAGAAGTTTGGTAAAGGAGTAGGGTTTAGGGAAAGAAAATGAGTTCTGTTTTGAACATGTTGAATTTGAGGTGCCTATGGGATACTCAGTTTGAAATGTCTATTAGGCTATTGGTAATGTAGGACTGAGGCTCGGGAGAGAGATTCTGGCTAGTTACATTAAAAACAGCACAAGTAATTCCATTTTGCCTTTATCCACCATTTTAAGAAATTAAGTTCCAACTTCTTGTAAGTTATCTGATCACAGGAAAGTTACAAGACAGGAAAATCACAAGACTACCCCCCCCCCCCACCTAAGTGTGTTCCAATCCCCTCCACCAATAATAAACCAGATGTCTCCAACGTGACTAATGTGGAAATATG